CGTTGGTCTAGACTCATCCCACATTGCTGTCCGGATTTCATCAAAATCCCTTGTGAGAGCTTCCACATCCGGCATGGTTGGCAAGTTATCAATGTAATGAATCTCCCTTGAATGAAACGGCACTTCGGACTCGTACACTCTTCGTCTAGAGGGGTCTCTCTTCAAATCAGGTACTTCCTCCTCATCCTGCTCATCACCATCCTCACANAAACCATCAATTGCTGGCTTAAACGCCCAGAACACGTAATTGAATATGTATTCTAGTGTTCCCGAACTCTGCTCAAGCTTCCATTCAACAACTGTCCCAGGGTTAAAGTGCTGCAGTGCAGCCATGTACTTTGGCAGAGATACAAATGACTTATCCCAATTACCGTACACAATTTCAAACGCTCGTTTGCGCCCGAGAAATGCCTTTCTTTCGTAATGGTATGGCCATATTCTTGGTGGACTGATGTAATGCATTCTTTGATTGTATACCTTATGGACGCTTCGAGGTGCGGAATAAGTACAAAAGAAATCAAGTCAATATCCAAANAACTCTTTCATCCGGAACCTGTCCGGCAAAAACTGCTCCAAAATAATCACCCGATGACTGGGGGTTATCTCTACTACGCACAACCTCATTTTTTGGAACGGCTTCAACCTTCACGTACATCTCCAACATTTTGATTACAAGAAATTCCCGGCATTCGTCCGGAGTCCTCAGAAAATCACTCAAAGTTTCATTATCGTCGATGCTAAACTCCGAGTAAAAAAGCAACCCCTTGCGGAGTGACGAAATACGGATATCTTCCAGTTACTTTAAGTAGCACTGAACGTTTCCTCACACTCATTTTTTTGCATAACAACGATATCAATTTATCGTACTCTATTGTAAGTGGCAATTTAACATGACACTGAGCAGGTAAACTGTAGCCCACAGAGTTATTCTCCATCACAACCTCACCCCCCTCCCTCCCAATATAATGAAACTCTTATTCTACGCTCTTCAGACATAATGAAAAAATGTTGGAGAATTTAACAAGAGGTTGTGAGTTCGAGTCTCCCCAAGAGCAAGGTGGGAAGTTCTTGGAGGGAAGGATGTCGGGGGTCTATTTGGAAACAGTCTCTCTACTTCAGGTTAGGGGTAAGGTCTGCGTACACACTACCCTCCCCAGACCCCACTAAGTGGGATTATACTGGGTTGTTGTTGTTGTTGTTGTTGGAGAATTTAACAACAATAAACGTTTCAACAAGAGTTAAAATTTTTTTTGAATGAATTTCTATACAATCTTAACCTCTTTATATAGGAAATGGCTAGCCGGGAATTATATATATATATATATATAGCGCCCAAAAAGTTGGCACTATATACTTTTGAATTATTGAAGTCAAGAATTGTTAGTGGGGCCAGGAAAAAGGAGTATAGCGCCACAATACCTGGCGCTATATATAAAATGTATGTATAGCGCCAGGTATTGTGGCGCGATACCTGGGCGTGTCAGATTTAACAGTATAGCGCCACAATACCTGGCGCTATACATTAACGGTGTCGTTACTGTTAATGTATAGCGCCAGCTATTGTGGCGCTATATATAAAAATGTAACTTTTTTTTCCACCTATTTATGTATTTTGAGTCCAAAAGAATCACAATTGGGTTTCGGACTCAAGTAACTGCTTTCCTGCTTTTTGAAGAACCGACAAATATTTCATCTGATTTTCAATGTTGGTCTTGGATGATTCCGAAATAATTAGAAGAGTAACTTCATTTGGTAAGTGACATTGGCAAGTGAAGGGTTCAGTTCATTGAGGTTGGAGTAACTATTTATAGCTTTTCGAAAATGCAGGGCACGATTTTCGTAAAACCAGACCTTCAGCATCTAACTAATCATAGATAGTTTGCGGCCAACTTGGTCTAAACATAGTACAATCAGATTTTTCAACCATAAATATGCCATCCATGGTTATGAGGACCAGAGTTTCAGAAAACTAACAATTGCATATCTACTGAAGGAAAATTAAGGCACAGGACTGATAAGAGTGCAGCTTTGACTCATAAATTTCGCAAAGCCAACATCTATGTTTAGACCAGTTGGCCTCAATTTTTGGTTTGAAAACAGTGGTGCTTGGACCAATTAGCATGCACCTCGACTATTCAACCGGATACTTGATACCCCCACCGGTATAAGCATTGGCTAACTCTGCTCACCAAGACTACGCGTATATCCACATTAATCAGTATCCTACTCAGTAGTCAAAATTCATATGAACACTACGGTATCTCCACCATTGACAAAGTGAAGATCACAGCAGAATTCACCCTGCTTCAGTCACAAATGCAATTAATCACCTTCATGTATGCTACTAATAGCGCTCCACTGGCGAAAAATTAAAAAACCATGAAAAGATTGCTTTACCATTTCACTATAATACTAGCTATAGTAAGAACATCAACAAATGCAGAAATGCAGTGCACATTTCATTGTTCAATCATCCTTAAAGGTACATGACAAAGTATATGACATGCATACCTACATTATTCACAGAGACAGGTAACTATCAAATGTGTATGACTACAAAGGCACAAAGCTCTCATGACATCAATCCGGAAGCTTTATGTGCACCCTTAGAAGCATATGCCCAAAACTAAAACTAAAGCAGATGCCTGTATCTATTCATTTGAGCACATAAATTGGGTCGATTTAAAGCTCATTGCCAGCTAACAATAGGCAATTCTTCTTTAGAATCAAGGCTGCCTTGATCAAACAACTCAGGGGCAAGCTAGCTCAAACCAAAATTGTGCTCTTCCTCTGCTTTTCATGATGAGCTGATCCACCTTCCCTAGAAGATATGTTTCCCCTGAAAGAGTTGAAAACAATTTAATCTATATGAACAGAAAGTGACAAGTGTGGACATACAAACCAATATTAATTATTATGCAAATCTCAAAAGACAGCAGACCAAAGCCAAAAGAAACAACTGCATTATATATGCAAAAGAAAAGCTACTCCAAAAGCAGCTTTAGCAATACTTTAGCAAGTCAGCTATGATAGGACATAAATGCATGATATTAGTGCATTGTCATAAGCAGAGAGCAAATCTCTTTAAGCTGCCGAGCGTCATTTAGATTCACAAAAAACAAAGGGAAAATTAAGCGTAACATCAAACATTTGCATTGTATTTACTATTCGTAGCTATACTTTCAGCAAATTTGCCATTTATAGCTATATTTGAATCTTAAAGCAAATCCATGATATAAGAAATTAATTGTTTTGAACTGATACAAGAGAGCAACAAGCTTTCCTGGCTCAGTTGGTTAGAGCGCATGTTTAGTAAGCGAAGGTCTTAAGTTCGACTCTCAACAAGAACATTTTATTTTTCTGTATTTCTGTATTTCGCTTTAGTTGTATTCGTTGCGCGAACAAATAAAATCGATACAAGTTGTATCCATTGTATACACCCTTGTATTTCGCATTGGTTACAGTTGATACATATTGCATTCGTTGAACGAATAAATACAATTGCGTAAATGAATACAATTGATACACGTTGTATTTGTTGCCGAACGAATACAGTTGACACAAGTTTTATTCGTTGCACGTTTGAAAACAAGTGATACAAGTTGGTAAAAACTGAATAGTAGCTACACATAGTAATTAGGCAAAGTATAGTTACTAGGCTCTAAATTATAATGGTTTATGAAAATTCCTCAAAAACGAATTCAACCCAAGGAACTATTACAGAAAATAAGTGAAGGCAAGAGGCCCAATTTAATTGAACCAAACCATGTATTAAAAATTAGCCCTCACTCAAAGAAACGCTCATCGGAATTGACCAGGATTCATCAGCTAAAACTTTGTCAAACAAAGACCAATTGAATTCAGAAACCAAGTCCGAAAATATGTCCTCTCATTTACATGTTGGCACAAAAACAAAGATATCAAACCCAATCAGGAATATGATATTGCATAATTCGGTTAATGCAATCTCTTTTTAGGAGAATCCACATAAACGGGTATGTAACAGAATTCAACAACACAGTGCTATGACTGAATCAGGAGGGATCATGTGCAGACCTACGAATAAGACCCAAATGCATACAACATTAATTATCAAACAGATTAAGAAATCCTTATCACAATAAATGAAGGGCAAAAACCAACTAAAAACCCATGCATAAATGGATGACATAGATAAAGTCGGGCAGATCCAGTGGTCAAAGTAAATATAAATTGTAACAGTAAGATTTTCAACCCTATTAAGCTAAATCCAGAGTCAATTTATCCATACATTACAGACAGATCTACAAATTACTATACCCCAACAACAATGCCACAATGACAAGCTAGTTTGGGTCAGCTATACAAAATCCTCATTATCTATTTCGCTGGTTGTGGACTCATTTCATAACTAAGATTATTTTTCCTATCAAATTCATAACAAGCACCGTATAAGAAATTACCTCAGAAATGCCTGAATCTATCCAACCACTTGAACTCTACGCTCAGAAAGAGTTCATCTCAAGACAATAAGTCCTCCTCTTCAACAACATCCTCGCAGCCGTCCCATAAGGCTCCTCAAATGCGGCAGCTACCCAATTCCCATCCTCTTTCTTAGGCGGCTGCTCACAGGGCCTAATCGCCACCAAAGTCGCCCCTTTGAGCACTGCTCCATTAGGCAACTCTAAATGCGGGGCATACCAAAGGCGCATATTCAGCGCAGGCACCAAAGTCCTCTTCGAAGCCAACGAAGCTGATAAAGGCTTCACCCTCAATTCCTCCAGCTGTTCCCTATTCATACACAACACTCCTTGTCCATCCCCATCTGTCAATACCAAACTGTCCAGTGTTTTGTGCTCTGCTATTATTGGCTGCAGCAGATAATGTCTCGCAGACGCTGCAATTAGCGAACTAATTGTCCACACTACGCGCAACTTCAAACCCCCGTTGGTGTAAAACGACTCCGGTATGCTCCCGTTATCCATCTCTACATTGCCTTCACCAACGTTGTTGTCATTGTTATTCTCATTCTCCCACCCATTTCTACACTGTTCATCCTCGGTTCTAACACTATTATTGCTGTGGATGACAGAGGAGGCTCCAAGGATAACACAATTATCAAGAGTGGATCCAAAATCAGCTCTCCATTTCAATAACACACCATCATCTATCCCCAGCTCACCACTAGGCAATTCAATTCTCAGAAACTTGATCTCATTGAAATTCTTCAAAACTTGTGTAGGGGAATGGTGGGTCACAAATGTATGATCAAAATCACCATCAACATCATCCGCGGACGCAGAGGCTCCAGCATGTCGAGAAGAAACAGAGATGAATTGGGAAATGGATTGGAAGGGTTTAAGAAGGCCAGAGAAAACAAGGCGGAAAAGGGAGGAGATAGGATGGCGTGACTTATCGGAGGTAACGGCGGAAGTAACGGCGTTAGACGTGGACGGAGAGGACGAATCATCGTCGGAGATAACACAATCGACACGAACGATAACGCTATCGACAAGAGGGACAAGGGAATTGAAGCGCTTCGAAACCAAACAGCATCTGCCTAAGGCTTTAACATCACCGATGTTGTTGAAGACTAAGAGAAGAACCGAGTCAGGTATCCGGTCGAAGTGATCAACCGGTTCAGGATATATCCTTCCCCGTAGATCTGACCTGATCGACTCCATTTTCACCGGGAAAGGGGGGAGGAGGAAGAGATTTTCTGAGAAAAACCGGAAAAGGGTTTATAGATCTATTAAAGCAGACATGGTTAGGGAAGAAGAAGAACGGAATAAGGAAGAGGAATATTTAGCTTTTTTCTTTTTCGTGAGCAACACAAAGGGGAAAGGTGAAGGAGAGATATGGAGAGGGAGAACGGTGTGGGGGAGGAGGGGATATTATGCGCGTTTTGGGGATAAAGTGTGTGCGCTCTGGTGTGGGGTGTGCAGGCTGGAGTGGTTGTGTGTTTCTGCTTTTTTTTTTTCCCAATAATTTTTATTTGTTATAAATATATTATATTATAAATGTTCATTTAGTACTATGTTGTAAATAAGTTCCCTGAAGAAATTTATCCATGTGGGACTCCGCCGTAAATATGTTTATCTATTTAATACTCTATTGGAAATAAGCTTCCTGAAGAAGCTTATCACTTCGGTACCCGATTATGGATAAATATTACCCCCGGTAGAAGATTATCCATACCGGGTACAATGAGCTTATCCTTTCAGTATTCCGTTATGGATAATCATTACCCCTAGTAGAAGATTATCTATACTGGGTACAATAAGCTTATCCATTCAGTACTCCGTTATGGATAAACATTGCTCTCAGTAGAAGATTATCCATATCTGGTATAATAGCAGCTTACATAGTAGCTTTGCAGTAGCAGCTTACACAGCAGCTTACACAGTAGCTTCCTTTCTTCTATAAATAGAAGAGATTTCAGTTCATTATGTACATCAGTTTGAATTCAAATAATATATCAGTTTCTCTCTATACTTGTCTTTACTTTACAGTCTTTATTTTATAACACGTTATCAGCACGAGACTCTGTCATCTCAGGCAAATACTTTGAAAGTATTAGAGGTACGAACTTTCTTTTCCTAAATAATGTCAAATCTTTCTAAACTTGAATTTATAGCCATATATATATATATCGGGCAAAAGCTACATGTCTTGGGTGCTTGATGCTGAAATTCATCTTGATGCGATGAGTCTGACAGACACCATCAAAGACAAAAATCAGGCATCACACCAAGACCGTGCCAAAGCAATGATATTCCTACGCCATCACCTTGATGAGGGCCTGAAAATGGAGATCTTAGTGTTAAAGATCCAGTCATACTGTGGAATAATTTGAAAGATAGATATGACCACCTGAAGATGATCGTTCTTCCACATGCATGATATGATTGGACTCATCTAAGGCTACAAGATTTTAAATCTATCAGTGAGTATAATTCTGCTATGTTCAGAATTATTTCCCAATTGAAGTTATGTGGTGATAATATTACTGATCATGATATGTTGGAGAAAACTTTCACCATTTTTCATGCCTCGAATATGCTCCTGCAGCAGCAATATCGAGAGATGGGATTTAAAAAGTATTCTGAACTTATCTCACATCTTCTTATAGCCGAGCAACATAATGGGCTATTAATGAAAAACCATGAAAGCCAGCCTACTGGTTCTTGTCTATTCCCTGAAGTGGATGAGACGAACTTCCACCAAGCTAAACGTGGAAGAGGTCGTGGCCCCAGTCGTGGTCATGGCCGTGGTCAGGGAAGAAACCCCAATCATGGTAATAATAATGCATCAAAGAAGCCTCCTCACCACCAGCAGTGGAAAAGGAAGGAACAGAAGCATGAAGTGGTGCAAGCACCAAATGCAGAAAATGTATGCTATATATGTGGAGGAAAAGGGCACTGGTCACGTACCTGTCGTACGCCAAAGCACCTGGTTGAGCTTTATCAAGCCTCCCTGAAGAAGACAGAGAAAAATGCTGAAGCAAATTTTATTTCTGAAGATAATTTAGACTTCATGCATTTGGATGGATCGATGTAGTTGATTATTTTGCACTCCCAGAAGGAGAAACAAGTCATGTAATCGGTAGTGAATCTGTAGAAATGTAAATATTTTAATTTTTGTTGATTGTAATAGATAGTATGATTATATAATTGTTGTACATAAATAAAAATTATGCTTTAATAATGATGTTTACTATAATATATTTTATTTATGTCATTTTTGAAGAATATGGATAATCCTCAAATTATGTTTGGATCAAAGACAAATCATAAAGATATTTGTGTTATTGATAGTGGAACAACTCATGCCATATTCAAGGATCAGAAATACTTTTCTTATTTGCATAAGGAAAAAACAAATATTTCAACAATTTCTGATAATATAAGTTTAATTGAAGGCTCCGGAAGAGCCATTATATTTCTGTCTAAGGGAACAAAACTTAATATAGACAATGCATTATTCTCCTCCAAGTCCCGAAGAAACTTGTTGAGTTTTATAGATATCCACCAAAATGGGTATCATGTTGAGACAATAGATGAAATGAACAGGGAATATCTTTGTATTACAAAGAATATTTCTGGCCAGAAATGCATTGTAGAAAAGTTACCAACTTTATCTTCTTGCTTATACTATTCAAAAATTAGTACAGTTGAAGCACACTCTATCGTAAACCAGAAGTTTACGGATTCAAATACTTTTGTGCTTTGGCATGGCCGTTTGGGCCATCCTGGATCAATAATGATGAGACGAACTACTAAAAATTCAAGTGGGCATCCATTAAAGAACCTGAAGATTCTTACAAATGACGAATTTTCTTGTGATTTTTGTTATCAAGGCAAAATGATCACTAGACCATCACCAATGAAGGTTGGCATTGAATCCCCTGCCTTTTTAGAGCATATACATGGGGATATATGTGGACCTATTCACCCACTAAGTGGGTTGTTTAAATATTTTATGGTCCTAATAGATGCATCTTCAAGATGGTCTCATATGTGCCTACTATCATCTCGCAACCTGGCGTTTTCAAAGATATTAGCCCAAATAATTCGATTAAGGGCACAATTCCCAAATTATCATATAAAGGTTATTCTAATGCTGGAGAATTCTCATATCAAGATTTTGATGATTATTGTCTATCAGTTGGGATAAAAGTTGAATATCATATAGCTTGTGTTCATACTCAAAATGGCCTTGCAGAGTCATTTATTAAATGCCTTCAATTGATAGCAAAACCACTACTAATGAAAACAACATTGCCCACTACTGTTTGAGGCCATACTATCTTGCATGCAGCATCACTTATCCGTCTCAGACCGACACATTATAATAAATATTCTCCGTCACAATTAGTTTTTGGTCATGAACCAAATATTGCCCATCTATGAATTTTCGAATGTGTTGTATGTGTGCCAGTAGCACCACCACAACGCAGTAAGATGGAACCACAGAGAAGGATAGGAATATATGTTGGGTTTGAATCACCCTATGTTATTCGCTATCTTGAACCATCGACAGAAGATTTATTTACTGCTCGATTTGCAGATTGTCGATTTGATGAAACAAAATTTCCCACAATTAGGGGGACAGAAAAAGGAAATCAAAAGAGAAATTGTGTGGAAAGTTTCATCATTATCTCACTTTGATCCCCGTACCCCTATATATAATCAGGAGGTCCAGAATATCATCCATTTACAGAATATAGCAAATCAAATGCCAAACGCATTTACTGATTTGAAAAGGATAACTAAATCACATATCCCAGCAGAGATGTGCCTATCCAAATTAATGTCCTAGTAGGACCATTTACTAGCATGAGAGCTAGTGAACATAAAGCACGCCTAAAGCGTGGTAGGCCTTTGGGTTCTAAGGATCGAAATCCTCGAAAAAGAAAATCGACAAATGATCAAAACGATACTATGAAGAGATCTTTGAAGAGACCCAAGATCTGATTGCTTCTGAGATTCCTGAAGAAATTAATGAACCCGAAGCTCATGTGAGTGAAGAACTTTTAATAAGTTCGACCGGTGATGGGATCAAGTTAAATCGATCTGAAATAGTGGTGGATAAAATTTTGCATATAATATTGCACTTAATATTATGCAAGATAGTGAAGATCTTGAACCACGATCTGTCGAAGAATGTCAACAAAGATCTGATTGGCCAAAATAGTAAGAGGCAATTCAATCGGAATTAAAGTCACTTGCTAAAAGAGAGGTCTTTGGACCAGTAGTCCAAACACCTGCTGGTATAAAATCAGTTGGTCATAAATGGGTTTATGTGCGAAAAAGGAATGATAAAAATGAAGTTGAAAGATACAAAGCTTGCCTTGTTGCACAAGGATTCTCACAACGGCCTAGAGTCGATTTTGATGAAACATATTCACCTATTATGGATGCCATAACATTTCGATATCTACATCAGTTTAACACTACATGAAAAGCTTGAAATACATCTAATGGATGTAGTTACAACTTATTTGTACGGTTCACTTGATAATGAAATTTATATGAAAATCCCTGAAGGAAATTCAAAATCTCAGGAAATTTATTCAATTAGATTACAAAGATCTTTGTACGGTTTAAAACAATCTGGGCGCATGTGGTATAATCGCCTTAGTGAATATTTGCTGAAAGAAGGTTACATAAATGATGATATTTGTCCATATATTTTTATAAAGAAAATGANAGAAAATGGCATCAGAATTTGTTATACTTGCTGTTTATCTTGATGACATAAATCTTGTTGGAACTCCAGAAGAGCTCCAAAAGGCAATTGAATATCTTAAGAAAGAATTTGAGATGAAAGATCTTGAAAAGACAAAACTTTGTCTTGGTATGCAAATAGAACATTTAGCAGACAAGATCTTTATCCATCAATCTGCCTATATAGAAAGGATCTTAAAATGCTTTTACATGAACAAAGTGCACCCATTGAGTACACCAATGGTTGTTCGATCACTTGAAGTAATAAGGATTTGTTCCGACCTCCAGAAGAGGACGAGGAACTCCTTGGTCCCGAAGTACCCTATCTCAGTGCAATTGGTGCACTAATGTATCTTGCTAATGCTACAAGGCCTGACATAGCATTTTCTGTTAATTTACTAGCAAGATATAGTTCTTCTCCTACACGGAGACATTGGAACGGGATTAAGCATATATTGCGATATTTAAAGGGAACTCTTGATATGGGTTTGTTTTATGCTAACAAAGATAGTGCAGATCTTGTTGGTTATGCAGATGCAAGTTATTTATCTGATCCCCATAAAGCTCGATCTCAAACCGGGTACGTATTTACATATGGAGGTACTGTCATATCATGGCGCTCCACAAAGTAATCTATTGTTGCTACATCTTCAAATCGCGCTGAGATAATAGCTATTCATGAAACAAGTAGGGA